TTATTATCAATTGTGACATATTTTGGCTACGCTTTATTCAGTTATAATATATAGTGGGCAGCTATCTGCATATTTGCTATAAAAATTATTAATCACAAAATCGTACTGATACTGTTACAAATTTGTGACAAATGATTATTGTATTAAATTTTCGTCTAAATTAAACTGTGGCGAAGCAATGTACCTAGGATTACTTGTTTGAATGTTTCTTGAACGAGATCCAATCTATTAGTTCTCTTTCCCACAACTTATTACGTAGTAATTAATTTGATATATATTGCAAAACAACAAAACTCTAAAGAAGCAAAAGAAAAAAAACAACAAAACTCTGACGTATCTTTTCCAGTTTCCCCCTAACTTTGTAGTAACGTCAAAAAGAAGAAGAAGCAAAAGAAAACAAATCTCCCCACCGATTCACAGTTATATGTAGATTCACAATGGGCTAACTGGTATATGTAGATTTGAGGAATTGTGTAGAAAGTTGTGGAAATTTTTAGTTTTTTAACCATTTGATTTTGTAGAATGTTAAGGAATTTTTTCCAACAATACACAAAAAGATAAAATATGCAGAATTTTTGGTAAGATAATAAACACTAGAATATGAATATTCACATATACCAAATGTTTTACTTTTATTTTGATATAATTTATATGTAGCAGATGTTTAATAAATTATTAATATTATAAGACTATAAGTGGTAATTTCTAAAATACAAAACAATTAGAGAAATTTTAAAAAATGCCACTTTTCAAGTGTTACTTTACAAAATGTCACACTTTTGAAATCTTTACAAAAAATACCAGTTTTTCAAAAAAAAAAAATTTTATATTATTTATGTTTGAGTTAACTATGTTCTATTAGGGTTTAGTTATGAGGGTTTAGGGGGTTTAGGGATCAAAATATTTGTTAGTGTTTAGAATTTTAAGATATAGGATTTAAAAATCTACAATTAGTAGCATTTTTGCAAATGAACACATCTAACTGGCATTTTTGCAAATGAACACCTCTAAGTGGCATTTTTGCAAATGTGCACATAAAAAGTGATATTTTTGCAATTTCCCCCCCCCAAACAATTATGACATTTAATCACGACATTTGTGAAATAACTCAAAATGGTTTATTGTAATATAGTACAATGATTATATTCAGAAATTTTAAATAAATATGTAATTTATATCTTTTTGACC